CCCAGGTGGGCATTAGTACCATATCTGCATTTCCATTAATACTTTGCATATCAATGTATAATTTGCATATCTTAGTAAGGTAATAATGCAAAATATCATATTCATTAATGTACATAATTACAATCAATTCTAATTGATATTTTTTTATCTTTTTCGGGTTTATTTTTCAGATGAGCCCGGTATTAGCCTGGTTTCCTATCATTATAATATCAATGAACCGCTTGAAGGGGTGAATGCTGGTCAATATAACGTCGACGTCAAAGAGCCAACGGGTTAGAAATTGGATTTTATTCTCTGAAAAACAAATTATTTTTTTTTAAATATCATACAATGTACGTATGTTTCATACCGTGTATGGACCTGTAAAACTTAGATAACAAATCTAGCAAAGTATCAACAATTATCAATGAAATAACTCATTACATCAGCCCCTCAGATCTGAAAACATACACTTTACTCGGGCGGTTTTGCCGTTTAGCGTCGCTAGAGGTCGCCAAACTATTAGAAATGGTACATTGCACGCGAAAATACGAGCGAAGGCGCAACTCGGTAGAAATAAATTGCACAGTATTCTAAATGAAGCCCCTCCGAATTAATACTGGTTTATCTCTTTATGAATGAAGTCCTAAATAACACAGACGCGAAATTATAATTTGATTCTTTTGTTTTTCACCAGCTGGTTGGTGGCTCCATGAAAACTATGACGTTAAGTTGGTGGAAGGTGACACTGTCTACTACTGGTTATCAGTGATTTACAATAACCAAGGATTTGACCTTTTAGAGCAAGAATGGTCGCCACAAAGTAAGACTAAGTATTAGAAACTCGAATTTTGCTAAACCTGAAACAATGTTCTAGTCGATATTTAAATTCAATTCAAAAAAACGTAATTCTTTATTACAAACACATTTATAGCATATTTTCGTGCGTCTTGTAGGGCCAACCACAACTACCCCAGCTCCTACTACCACAACCGCTGCGCCGACGACAACGCCTCCATACACTGGTCCGACCACAACACCACCGACGACCACCCCATACACGGGACCTACCACAACCCCACCACCTCTTCCAACGGATGAACCCGGAGAAGACCCTTGTGGGACTTACCCGTGTGATCCAGGATGCGATATGGATGTGCCACCGTGCAATGGATTAATTTTTGAAGACGATTTCGAGAAGTTGGACTTAACCAAATGGCAGCATGAAATTACTGCTGGTGGTGGCGGAGTAAGTAATTGATACGCCATCTCGCGACATGTTTCAGCAGTTACTTCGTTTACAGTCTGTATTAGATCCTCTCATTTTGCGTACCAATCAGGTTATTAAAATTGTATCTAATTGGGCTTTTTCACAATTTTTTTTTTTAAATTGTCTGATCACGGAACAACCAGAGAAGGCTTTATATAACGCCATGTACGCAACTGGAATGATGTATTCAAGACATTTTCTGATTGGTTGATTAATCTAGTTATTTGAGATTTAACGAACGAGATCTTCTAGTGGAGGTTGTTTTTATCTTTGGGTGGTCGCAGTCAGAAAATTAAAAGATAAAATCAAGAAATTAAATATGACTTATATAAAAAATATACAATTAAAAAATGAGAAAGATAGTAGGACAAGATCTTCATTTTATCTGATTGTTTGACGGAGTACCAGTATTGTTCAACTGTTAGAATAATTCTCCGAGTTGTAAACAATAAACTGTTTAACTGTCAATATTTTTATGATTGATTCCAATACTGTGTTAAGTTCCTAAATGTTCTTTTTCAGAATTGGGAATTTCAGTTATATACTAACAATCGTTCGAATAGTTATGTCCGTGATGGCGTACTATACATCAAACCGGTATGTACACTTAACATATGAAGCTTTAAGTCAATTATACAAACATCAAGTTGTAGATAATACAGGCACTATCATAGAAGTGGATAAATTCATTTAAACCGAATTACTACATAATCTCAATCAACTTAAGTGATGATGTCATATACATTACCGACATGGAATCCACAAAACGTAATGCTTTATTTTACATCACAGCTTCTATAATGCAAACTTCTGTCACATTATAATATATTTTCTTTTTGTCCAGCAACTATTTTGTTTATACATTCAGTTAGAAGGTGGTGGTCGTCGCGCTACGCATGCGCGAGATATGGGACTCTTATGAACAAAGATGCACATGGGCATCACGACGACCACCGCTCGTATATCTGACGACTATGATATATGTGGGTTTTTTTCAGACCTTGTTATCGGAAACCTACGGCGATGACTTCATCATGACTGGTTCGCTTGATATATGGGGTAAGCTTACGTGTGTCCTCAACCGTCATATAACATCTTTTAAAACACGCGAATTGTTCATTTACTTACAGTAGTTTTAACTGGTCGTGTCTTACAAGTCGACAAAATGCCAACTCGTTAACTGTTAACCTGTTCGTTTTTTTCTTGTTCCCAGGCGCAGCCCCTGCTGACATTTGTACAGGCAATCAGTGGTGGGGATGTGCAAGACAGGGATATGGAACAAATATCATAAATCCCATACAATCAGGCAGACTTAGAACGGTTAATAGTTTTAATTTCAAGTATGGTAGAGTGGATCTAGAGGCAAAGATGCCAACGGGGGATTGGATTTGGCCAGGTAAGTGGAATTCATGGGACTTTTTTGGTAGGGGGAGTAACACTGTTGTAATTCAATTTCAAGTAAAACAATGTGCCGGGAACTAAATTACTTAAACTAATAGGTATGGACCTATTTGTGACGATACGGCAGTTCCGTACAAATTAACGCAAACAGCATATATTGCACATAATATATTATGTATCGCACTGTACGTGTAATTGGTTAATTCACTGTTTTCATTTATGCAAGCAAATCTACGCAAATACTAGTAATTTTAAACGAAAATAGTGTTAACAATAGAAATGAAGGCAGCTTAAACGCAAATGACCGCCGACATCTCATCGAGAACGACAGAGCCGCGAGACTCCCCCCCCCCCCTTCCCCACAAATTATGCTCCGTCTTCTTCCGTCATCGCGTCCAGGGTTCCTCTGATATATGTAACCATTTGGTAAAGTGATCAAGATGAAATGAGTGCAGGAATATTTGTTGATGTTTTAAATAAGACGGAAATGAGCATCCTTTTACGACAGACAGAGGGCAAGCACACGCACACAACGCTATTACACTGTTAAACTTACAGCAGAATATCTTGCTATAAAAAATTGGACGCATTCATTATATTAAAAAAATCGCAGATTGATATGACATCACTGAATCCCCAACCAACACAAAAATAGAACGTAAATATCCTCAAATCGAAGGTTTTTTTGAGAAACAACTTTTCCCAAACTGACCTGTTCTTCTTTCGCCATGTGGTGGCGCTTTTCACTTCTGGCATTTGATTAAACCAATGTCATAGTTATAAATACTTGATACATATCGCTGTCAAGCTGAGTTGACTATATCATGCACGATGACGTCACTGCTGTATGTATATCTTGACAGCTATTTGGATGTTACCGGCACAAAACCCGTACGGACAATGGCCTGCTTCTGGTGAAATGGACATCGTGGAAGTACGAGGCGAGTATTTATGTTGTATACTATCCCATCCCATCTCACCCCATTCTAACTCATCCCACCGCATCTCATCCCATCCTACCTTATCACATCCCATCTCATCCCATCCCATCTCACCCCATTCTACCTCATCCCACCGCATCTCATCCCATCCTACCTTATCACATCCCATCCCATCCCATCTCATCCCAACCCATCTCATCCCATCCTACCTCATCCCATTCTACCTCATCCCATCCCATCCCACCTCATTCCATGTCTCACCTCATTCCATAGATGAGCTTGAAGTTAGTGGATAACAACCTAGTGATACATTTTGCAATGGTAGAAAAACAAACTTTGAAAACGGGAAATTTTCAGGCTTTCGTATACTCTCACATGGATTTATTTATGTGGATTCGTATCTCGAAAGTGTTTGCAATGGTGTTATGGGAAAGAACATCCATTATGGAAATAAATAAATATGGCGATATTTATTACAGGTCATGCATTCGCTTTAATGTCACAACATATTATAGCAAAACACTGCTTATAAATGTTAACCCGCAATCTTAATTTAAAGGCAACACTCAGCTGTACGACTCTTCTGGTGTCTCTGTTGGTGTCGATCAGATGGGAAGTACAATGCATTGGGGCCCGTACTGGCCAGAAAATGGATACGAGAAAACACACGTCACCAGGTAAACTTATTTCTTCCGTCGACCACTGCTTCTCGGCGTCTTTATATTACGCGGAGTTGGTTAAAAGACGTTGGTAACAATGTATTTTACACGCCTTGTTTACGTCAATATTAATTCAATATCGAACAGGGCGCGGCGCGACGACCACCACCCTTTAATTTTACACGTATGGTTAGGAATACGGTCTTCAACGCTGGTGGCGCTTTGGAACTGCTGACCCAGGGTATCAGACTACGCAATAGCGGGCTATCGTTTTAGTTACGAGTTCTCACTTATCGATTATGATCTACAGCTAACCACGTGATCTGACCAAAGGGAATGTGCGTTAACGTACTTTCCTCCGCCTGGCGGTGTACTCTGTCCCCGGAGTTCGTGGTCGCTCGTAGAACGTATATATGTCGACAATAATCCAAATCAGGATACCTTATTTCACAATACTCGTCCAACCTATGTCTCTTTGCTCGTACCGTGCCTCGGAATCACGGAAGACAAACTCTGTCCACCAACGTAAGTGCACAGCGATAAACATGCACCGATTGACATCGTAACAAAAGACAAGTCTACATAAAATGTTTATTTTTATGTTCGTTTCAGAAATACGAGTCCGGGTACATTTGGTACTGATTTTCATAAATATTCAGTTGAATGGACTGCGGATCACGTCAAGTAAGTGAAAACATAATGTGTATTTAAGCCTCGCCCTGATGATTAACGCGTTAATATATCACTGCATTAATGTAAACAAACATTGACAATGTATCGTGTAAAATTGATATTCGAAAGTTCATGCAGTTGAAAAAGTAGTATTATCACGTGACTGCTTGATCTCAGGTTTTATCTGGACGATGAGGAGCTGATGCACGTAGATCCAGGTGAAGGGGGATTCTGGGAGTATGGTGATTTTGACAAGAACTTGCAGGATGCCGACAACCCATGGCGAGGAGGAACAAAAATGGCTCCTTTTGACGAAGAGGTAACGTCCAAAAATGACATTTTACAGTTGTTTGTTTGGTGGTTCTTTACTCTACAGCCAACTGATTAGCTGATATTCCCGATTATTAATGTTGATATGATGATGCGTGACGTGACGTGACGTGACGGAACGTACCATGCCGTGGCGTGGAGTGACGTGGCGTTGCGTGATGTGACATGATGTGGCGTGAAGTGAAGTGACGTGGCGTTGCGTGATTTGACATGATGTGGCGTGGCGTGGCGTGAAGTGAAGTGGTGTTGCATGATTTGACATGATGTGGCGTCGCGTAACGTGGCGTAACGTGACGTTATGTGGCGTTGCGTGATGTGATATGACGTGGCGTTGCGTGATGTGACATGATGTGGCGTGATGTGATGTGACATGACGTGGCGTGGCGTTACGTAACGCTGCGTAAAGTGGCATGATGTGGCGTGAAGTGACGTGGCGCTGCGTGAAGTGACGTGGCGTTGCGTGATGTGACATGATGTGGCGTGGCGTGGCATGGTGTGAAGTGATGTGATGTGGTCCATTTACCAAATGGTTGTGGTTAATGAGTAGACCTAAATTTGTAAATATATGATATTGCTTACAATAATAATACTGTGTTTCTTTTTTATTTTCAGTTCTATATTATCATGAACGTGGCTGTTGGGGGCGTAACCTATTTTGACGACTCCTTTACCAACTACCCGCATGCCAAACCGTGGTTGAACGACTCGCCTCACGCCTCGTACGATTTCTGGATGGCGAAGGACCAGTGGTACCCGACGTGGAACGACGAAGAATCTGCATTGCAAGTGAAACATATTCAAGTGTGGGCGTATGATGAAGAATAATAATAAAAACGGCTCGAAAGATTTGAGTAGTATTTTGAGGGGTTATTATTAATAAAGACGTTTTAAATATCTCATGAACTTTTTATCTATAAAAATCACTTCTTTTACACAGATGGCAATGACACGCAATCTTTTCTTCCATTCATGCCACATTTGTTGGTCTTGAATCCTTAAATAACGATAATATTCAACTTTCGATTAAAATGAAATTTCTACGAAATATCAGGCATCAAATGTATATTTTAACGACTGTTAAAATACCATTCTTTGTGGCAAAGGACCCATGAAGGACCCAACTCGGAGAAATCTGCATTATAAGTGAAACATGTCATGACGTATGAGGAAGAATTACAGGCAAGACTTTATGTGTTTTGGAGAAAGTAAAGCAGTTTGAAATTAATGATTGTTTGTCAAAAGTAGTCGACATTAGTTCAAACTACGTGTAGATATGTTTTTGTCAAAAAGTGTCAACTACACTCCTCATAAAAAGGGCATGAATATTTTACGTGTTATACATTCTTTACTCTGGGAGACCCTCGTGTGATCTTAAAATCGAAAAAGTTCTCCCTGGTAACGCCGAATATATCGTAGGGTATTATACGGTCTGGTACAGATCGCCGAATATATCGCAGGTAATGTACGGTCTGGTACAGTTCATCTTCGGATAGCGTGATAAGTTAAATGCATAATTCAATACGACGATGTTTATCTGTATTGTGTGTGTTAAAATATTCTTCGTTTTATATTTATTTTATAAAACTAAAACAGACAAACTTCCTTGAAGACGATTGTATAAAACAGTGAGGGAATAAAATAATTTTAAAGCATACTTCTGAAACACGGATTTGCACATTACTTCAAAATAATTTCTATCAGACAGAATTTCTATTCACTTCAATTGGCCATCATGCGGGAAATTCTTTCCACTGGGCCGAAGAAGACAAAATGGCCGCCATCATTAATAGTAAGTGCATGCGTGTACAAGTAGGAAATAGCTTGAAAACTTAAATGCACCATGATATTTGGGAAACCCGTGACTTCACTATTGATATTAATGTAATTAATTATTCGCTGGGTTTTAGCACAGACCACAGTCTATGGTTTTGCTTTGTTATGTGTAAGAATGCCTTTGTTTAAAACAATTTGTTAAATTAAAAAAAAAAATCATTCTTAACGGCTTTTTGTTGAAATGAGTTTACTTGCGAATAGAGGTTTACATTATCGTGTGAAAATGTAGTTATGACGTCATAAAAACCTGATATTGGTGTATAACGCGCAATAATGGGTAGTGTGGAGTCCTTCATTTCAGTTATATGGTCAAACAATGTAATATATATGCAATGCTAGCTTGATAATATTGTAGTCTGGTTGCAGTACGGTGGTTAGCGTATTCGCCTTGCTCCAGGGACGTGGTAGCGTCGATTCCCAATCCCTTTGCTTACTAACAGAAATACGTCATTTTTTGTTGGCGTCCTACCGGAGTGTCGGTACATAACTGTCGGTCCCGTCACGGAGCTCCATGGCCCCGTGACAATTACGTTAGCTCTTTCTGTCGTCAAATAGGTAATCGATTGTCCTCGTTTACTCCGGTACGCACAACTAAATAGGTTCAATCCAATGTCGTTTACGAGCCGAGAGCGGTGGCCGAAGCCACCGTCCGATAAACGCAAACTCAACTCTTTATTCAACTACCAGCGAAACCATATAACGTTATACATTTAGAAGACATAAAACCATAATCCTACGGTTTCTCGCGTACTCAGGATTTGGGGTATCTCTAAGTTTCAAATAATTCTACGCATGGAGCAGCATCTGTTAGTACTAAGCCGCCAAATATGATGAATTCACCAAGGACATCATTGGTCCCAACTACCGTTTAAATACAATCTGATGACACCGCATATGGCAAGCAATGCCGTCAACTTACGCTAACGCAGATATTGTCTATGACCACCAAAACAATCACCACATCCCCTTGTACTATATTCGTGCCCCAATACATCATGCTATACACATCGCGAATAGTAGCAGAATTCAGCATAATAATGTATTTCCTTCACTTATGTCAGCCTTCGTAAAAGCCGGGTGTTCAAATCTGTTTAAGCGAAGAATAAATAAAGTATTGTTTCATATCAAATGCAATAGGTGTCCACAATGTATTGTAACTATACTAATTATTCCTGAGGTTCTAAATTTATCGCTGATAAGCGAAACCCGCTAAATTTATCACACTGTAAACTGTGAAAAAATAATGATTTTACAGTACATAGTGTTTCAATTTTCAAAACTACCGACAACTTGAGATATATATATATATAATGTACTAATAATTTTAATTACACGTAAATGTTCACCTACCTGAATATCCCATGAGTCCAGGCAAAATATATGTGACCCCATCGTTATTTGCATTTAACATGTGAGTTATATATAGAATATATACCCTTGCATTTGAGTCAAATAGGGCGTCGAAAGAGTTTTTCTCCACCCCAGGCGTTAATTTGAAACTACAGTCCATCCAACGTACGTCAAATTCACTTTAAATTAGTGATTCTGGATCACAATAATGGAGTAGGGTAGCATAACGGCGGTTGGTATTGGAATGGGCTCTATGCGTAGCGGGGACATGCTTATGGTACGTGGTGAGGGTATGCCCTCCGTATGTAGCGGCGGTACTATATTGGTGCATAGCATGGGCTCTGTGCAAATTTGCGTGCTGGCATATGTTCTGTAGAGGAGCTCGATGCGCCGCGGGCATGTTCTTACTACATGTATTGTGTTTGGCCTCAGTTGGGTAATAGAGGTTTACTGTAACAGCTGTATGTACAACAATCACACCACTGACCGTATAAACCGATTAACGTGCACCGTAGATTTCTCAATTCCTTAATCGCTTTTTTTCTAATCATGACGAGTACCAAAATAGAATGATATAACATGGAAGAAATTTTGGCTACAAGAAAAAACACATAATATAGCGACCAAAAATATGTAAGTATTATGTATATCAGAATCGGTGTAACGTTGTCTAACACTATAAATCCAATACATGAATACTATTTATAAATAAATAAATAAATAAATAAATAAATAAATAAATAAATAAATAAATAAATAAATAAATAAATAAATAAATAAATAAATAAATAAATAAATTAAATAAATAAATAAATAAATAAATAAATAAATAAATAAATAATAGACTTGTTTCAGACATTTTTATAATATTTATGTTTTCCATAACAGTAGTTATCTGTATAATTGAATTTATTTTAAATATTGTTTTATAAAACGTCTGTCTGTGATTACCGTGTGACCGTGACGATAAACAAATTTTGAAAATTCTCAAACCCCCAAATCATTTTTTTTTCAGAGCGTTACTTGAACACCCCAGCGACCCCAGTCTATAATATAGTTTCGTATCGAAGGTGCGATTTCTCGAGGGTCAATTTCTGCAATAAGCACATCCCAGGGTGCCAATTCTGGAAGGTGCTATCAAGCGTCATCTGAAAGAAATCTTGTTCTTACTTAACCCTAACCGTTCGAAAAACAAACTATAAAATCAAGTGCGGATACTTTCTACCTCGTTATGTTATTATGTAGCTTAGTTATACTGCACAATGTATATCGTCTTCCGCTTCCACTATCCGAGGTCATGATTGAATCACGATGTACCGCAGCCATGTACTGACATGTATCCCTTGCACCAGGCATTTGTACGTCGTCGTCGTCAATTTTATCATCAGTAAGTGCAAGGGAACACCTTAAAAATTAAAACGGCACATCTTTGCTGTATAAGCAATGCATTGTGTTTGTTCTTATGTCGCGAAAACACAAATACACAGGCTGGTTTCTTGTAGTTAAACGCCCCCAGCGTCGGTCTACAGTCTCAACAATGACCTTTGCTAACCCGAGACTATTGTATTTATTTGGAGGGGTGTGTATACTATCACTTTGTTAAATAACAACTCTACGCTGTCTAGTTATTATTAGACAGTATACGAATCATTTTAATGTAATTCAGAAAAAAGAAGTAAATAATAACGTATATTATTTTGTGTGTATTCATTTGAAAAAAGGAAACACCACATTAGCAAGTTAGACGGTTATAGAAATGGTATATTCCATAATTTAGCAGTGACGTCATCTTCGGGCGTATTCGGCAGTTCGACATCAGTTTCGGTAGCGCCATCCCATAATATTTTCTCGTATCTGGATAACTGGGAAGTGCCGTAATGCCTGACAGAGTGAGAGGACGCACGAGTATCAAACATCGGCACAAATTGACCGACAAATTACGGTCAAATGCCACCGACCCCACAACAGATCAAGGAACAGCTGCTGAAAGCAATAGATAAGGATGCCAACGTAAGGATATCTAACAAATTTATTACTTCTTTGTCCATTTTTTGCAAAGAATAATTTGAAGGATATTTTCTAGATCGGGTTGGCGCAGTGGCTACCATATGAGGTAACTCATTCGCCTGAAAGTTGCTTCCCCAATCAAAAAAACGCGCGATAAATTAATTGATAGCCGCATAATTAGGTTCCAGAAGCCTTTATGTGACGTGTCAACCACAACTGTCTGTTTCCGATATTGCTAAATTGTTCAATTTCATGAATATCGGGAGCGTTGACGGGGGCCTTGTAGAAGTCAGCCATTTTGAATTTGCATAGATTTGTATGAAGTGTCAGTGTATACTATGCAGGCGTTGAATGGAGATAGGCTGTAGCGCTATGCGTAGTTCTGGGCCTAGGGTAAGACCTGCTTTCTGTATCGTCGTACAACTTTACAAGACTGCTATTCTTGCTCGATGACATGTGCAAGTTTCGATTTTACCGACAAATCGTTATTTTTTCTTTATATTAATGTTTAAATTCTATAATATTCCGAAAAACCCTAACCCTACAGTATGTACCTTAGCAATATTCATTATTCGCGTGCAGTTGCAGTGCGAGGGTTGTGTACGTTATTGACCAACAAAATAGTTGTCACATGTACAACCTGTACTTTTTAAGTGAATATTAATTTTAAAAAAGTATTTCTATACTAATATTCTGCAATGGAATATTTCAAAAATAGGCACCTGTTGTGAGGATGCTGAAATTTAGTTTTTTTTTGTTGGTGTTTGGGATAATTGTAGATAGCCAATCAATTTCCAGTGCACATCAAAATTGACAATTGTTTTGGCAATGTTCTACCCTAGCAAATTATATCAGGTAATTTGTATAAAAGTTCATCTGTTATTTTAATTTTATGGTAATTAGCTCTATTTTTTAACCAACATTTGATTCCACATCAAATTTGTGTTTGAAATGCGCATGTGTGTATGGTGACACACTGTTGTCAGCTGGTCAACTGAATTTCCAGTTAGACCAGATAGTCACTTTTGAATCTTAATTGTGTGGATGAACAGTTTCAAGATTTATTTCTCGACCATTTCTATTTAATTTATGCTTATAAGGATAATTGTCCAATACACATATCAATCTGAAATCATCCCATACTCTGGTTCAAATTGAAATCCTTCTTGGGATTGAACTACACAAAAGACTTCAATCTTGGTCAGTGTGCCACAGACTCACATGAGAAAGTCGAGGCTTCTCACCATGATTTATTAACAAACAATGTGAATTTTGGAAACTGCTGTCAAAACCTGCTTGTGCAATGCTAGGTCTGGCAGGTTGATTACAACATATGATGTATTTGGGACTTGTGCTTACTTATTGTGACTATTCGCTAAGAGCTTATTGCCAAACGAGTATAAAACTCAATACTTCGGGAATTCCCGAAAGCATTCTGGTAACATAACGCAATGCGGAAGTGAATTATCAATGTCAAAATACTATTTGTTGGAATTGATTTTGATGTAAAAACTGCATGAATTATTTTTTTACAACTGGTTGTTGGGTATTTTTAGGTAACTGAATATGGAATGAGCTCTTTCATGGTTAACGGGTCATTGTACGCATGGCCGTAATCTGCTCATATTCAGTGGTTACCACTGAAAAGTAAAGTCAATGATCAAAGACCAAATTTTGTGATTAGACAGTCAAATTTGAGGCATTTTAGATTGTAGCGTTCTCCCCAGAAAATTGTCAGAGATGTGCATATTAATTTGCATACTAATTAACTTGATGTATTTTTTAAATAAACAAGATTTACTGTATACAGTGAAACACATTTATTTAATTAAAATGGGGTACATTACCAAAAATATATTAGTTAATACTGTTAATTGGTTACAATTATGTACAAATCGTATCTGCAGTTTTGAAGAAAAAATGATAACTATGAAATCATCATTAAAATCGCACATGTGCTGGTAATTTGCATACCACCATGTAAACAGTAAAACAACATGGCTGTCACTGGTAGCATATTGGTTGTCGCATCAGAGTCATGATCGTTAGACCAAAGTTCAAATCCTACCGTAGGCTGAACCAAAAGGGTCGACCCCTACCCTGGGTGAGTGTGCCACAGACTCGATGGGAAGGCCAATTCCACTGGCCGAGATTCATTCACTAACGAATGCGACTTTGGGGGAACCTTGGTTAAGGTCTGCAGGTGCTTGTGTTTTACCAGACCTGGTTTACGCCAGGATAGCGCATTACAAATTGCCATTTGACAGAGAGATGGCCACACAGCCCTGTCATGTAGTCCCAAACATGAATATGACTTCTGTGGCAAATTACACTAGGTGTCGTCACTAGCACTTGCAATTTGCACATACAAAAAAAAAGTCGAGAGAGACAACAGTGACACTCAATGCTCGGAACTGTCGCCTGGCACAAAAAATATTAAAAAAAACAAAAAAAAACATGGCTGCTGTTGTGAACTATCAATCTCAGTTGTAGTCTGTTATTTATTTTCCAGCTCAAAATAGAGGTTAATATGTAGTAGACATAACAGGTATGTTATAGTTAGGCTTGATATTTTCATATAAGAATTGTCCTGAACTATAGTAAACCATATATTTTATGAAATCTCTTATCTCACACTTCCTGAAATTCTGGGCAATTTTGGATAGAATTTAATGGCTACATGACTGCTAAGTAAACAAACAGAAATGTTATTTTTAAAAAAACAAGTACTGTGTGAAACTGGAAATAGTTAGATGAGTAACAAACATCGTAATGTTAACCACAGGGTGTCCCATCCAATCGGGTGACAAGATTTTTGTCCAGCGAGATGCGTTTATTTCATGAGACCAGCTTGAAATGTTGGACCACGGTCACTGATTATTGTTAGGATAAAACGCTCTCACCCACATGTTTGACACTTTCGGTAGAACAGCCCATGCAAAATTCAAGCCAATGCGATACCCAGGGAACGCAGCGTACTCGATAATGTAATTCACTAATTAATCCATTTTCATTTGGCAGAAACAACAAATAACCTTTCCACTGAACAAACTGGCCAATATTTTAAGTTTGCGACGTCGTTTGAGAAAAATGTTACACTCGGGCGAAGGGTATACTTCTATTTTATAGATTGTGAGGTTCAAGTTACAAAGTGATCAAGCGTATCGTCGATATTCAACGTAAAACTGGCTCCAAAGCACTGGCGAGACTCGTTCATCGAGATAGCGTTGTACAGTTACAAAAGATAAATTACGTAATACTTTGCGCATACAAAGGTTGTTTATTGACTGGACATAAGTGAGAGATTATGGTTACTTCCTTAGTAAAAGGGAACCGCACGACTGGGGTTATTGTGGCAGCTACTGCAATTTTTAATGTAGGCCAACTGTGATCAGTGATTCGCTATTTAAAATGTAGACATCGGTCAGTCTCAGCCACCCCATCATCGTCACCACGTGAGGATAATTTCCTTTCTGATGCACTTCTTGGCACTTTTTCTAGTTCTTCAATTCTGAGCTACATGTAGATAAATGTTGCACCGTCACAGCAGTATCATCGGAGTCGGAACTTCCCGAACCGCGATCGATGTTTTTTTTTTTTTTGAGACGAAGTTTTGCTTCTTCGGACATTAGAGTCATATTCTTCCTCTTTTTTTTCCTTCCTTCTCTCAATTTCTAATAATAATTCTGATAACAATTTTAAGGAGCGCTAATTTTGTTATGTGTCACACACGGTAACGATCACAGAGACAGGGCGTGTGTGCGTTGTTTCCTTTGCTAAGTAGGCCAACTTATGCAAATTAGATCAATATTTATTGTTTGCGCTCAAAGCCGATTTTCCTGAAATCAAAGAGAGCGGTCTGCTGTTAGTGTTCTCCCCAGGCTCAGAGGCAAGCATGGCGGTCTAATTTGCATGCTAATTTGCATACTAATTTGCATATTTTTCAGGATTCACTCTCACAAAAACAAACATACAAGACAGTATTAAAATGTATGAGAGACTTTATTTAAATTACATAATACTTTACATAATATACCATAATTTGACAAGATCGTCATTTAATGTGAACTGTTCCATAAAACTTAGTCTAAACTAATCCTTCTGACTTTGTTGTGCTCCAAACATTGGCTGCCTTACTGTAGTTAAA